CCATCCCTCCCATCGCTAATACATGTGTTGTATTGACAGTGAAGTACGTAAGACACGGACACATCCGCGTCGGACCCGATGTGGTGACAGATCCGGCATTTCTGGTGACCAGAAATCACGAGGACTTTATCTCATGGACCGATAGTTTCCGCAATAAAATCGATGAATACAACCAACGAAGGGATGACTACAACCACTGAAACCATTGTTTTATTTATTTAAACACTTGATTTGACAATAAATTTGTTTATTTGTATGAATTGTGTTTATAGTTAAAATGATTTAAAACGAAGGACAGGGAGGGGAACGTTAGTCTGAAATAGTCTTGAAATACGATACCCAGTGAGAGAGCCATTAAAAAGTTTAAAATTGCTACCAAAAGCTCAAAAATACTATCGTATATTAGAAAAAGTGAATTTATTTGTGTGTCTGCATACCGTTCCCAAAAAGTATATTTGTCTACATGTGACGAGTGGCCTGTCATTAGCACCTGTTCACTGCAAACAGCTGTCCATTACATGTCTAACCCATAGTCTTGTGACCCGCAAAACACACACTCATTGAGAAGTTATTAATAATAGGATTGAAGTGTAATTAACGGAAAAACAAAAAACGAGTCAATGATAGAAACATTTTGATAAAAGAGGAAATTTGAAACTTTTGTAATAACTTATTTACCTTGCTTACCTTGATTACTTTTGTAATCTTATATTTCTTAAAATAAAAGAATTAAATACATGTAACAAATTTGCTTGTTATTTTTAGAATAAGTATTGACTTTTGATATGAATTTGTAGTAATGTTTGATGATTTTAGAAATTAGACATAATTTTTAAAACACGAGATTCTCTCGGATTCATGAAAATTGAATCTCAAATATCAGTTTCAAAGGAAACTTATAAATCATGAAATTCTGCTCTCATTTGAAACTCACGACAGAATACATGAGAGAATCGGAGAACAAATATCGATAAATAAAGACAAATATACAAAATACTTCTCATATGTCTCTTACAAAACACATAAAGTTCTTGTCTTTCGGCAAAACAAGTGAATATCTGTTTGGCGTTTCAGTCGATCAACTTTTCGTACAAACCATAGTTCGCTCATTGAGTGCCAAACGACACAAAAGTTTAGTAACAAATCTATAATTTATTTAATAAATAAAAATGTGTTTCGAGTCAAACATTTGTAATTCACAAAACAAGTGTCTGAATGGACTGTTCAATTGACAATATTGACAAAAATGAGTCAATAATGCGCTAGTAATTCGTCCCTAATGACTTCTGTATCAATGTCTCACTTCAGATGTCTTGGAGGACGAATTTTCTGTGCATTATTGGAGTATCTGATCCGTCCATCACGTCCACCAATCAACCACTACAACCACAATAGCTCACCTCAACCACAGGTACTGTATACAAGTGATAAGACAGTTCATTTCATTTCATTTGATTTTTATTTTAAATGAAATCTCAAAAACATCAATTATTATATAATTAAATAGGTTTTTTAAATCTTTGATTTAATTTGAATTGTATTTTTTCTTTTAATATAATAATTATTTGTTAAAAAGTTCTCAATATTTATATTCAATAATTCATTTGAATAATAATAATAATAATATTAATAATTATAATAATATCGAGTTTCGGAAAGAGAGGGAAATATATTGTCATTGAATTACAACATAACATAAGAGTAATAAAAGCCTTGCAATCAATCTATGGATAGATTGACGGGAAGTCTGACAATCAAATGGGACGCGACTTAATCAGGTCTCCCGTATTGAGACGACGACGCGGCCGATCGCCAAATATGTCCGATTCGTTTCGTACACTCTTCGCCAACTTCTTAATGCTTTCGGCAATTGTTTCATCGTTTCTAATCATTGGCACCTATAGGTCGGCAATTCAACAATAGTTTAGTTCATTTGTAATTCAATTATTATTGTATCAATGTTTGAATACGTGTAACAAATAAAAGACTGTTTTATCAAATATATTATACATTCAAAAATACTAAATATCATCTCAAATAGCAACTGAAATAAGAGTAAAAACTTTGGGTTTAAAGTCAAAGTCTTTCATAAATCAGTTTTCATTATAAACTGAATAAAAATTTTCATTTTATATACAGTAAAAATAAAATTTAGTAAATTTATATAAAATATACATTAGAGTCCAATTTCACAGCCAAACCAGACAATTGTGTATCATTTATAAGAATATTAAACATAAGAATAAAGAATGAAATATCAAATGAAGAGTATTTGGTGTCAAAAGGAAAGGGAGGCAAAGAACTCACGTCTTCCTCATCGATGTCGTGCTTGTGATTGTAGAAAGTCTTCCACTTTGGCACCTGTACCTGAATGGGTAACGAATAGGCCATAAGTCCATGGGTTTGTGCGTTAATTTGTGCGTTGGGAACAGCCCTCCCGTTGTTATAATTGTAGTCATTATTGGTATTCCGAAAAGCGATCGAATCGTCGTCTTCTTCGTCCGAATAGGAGATGGAGTCGAAAGCGTTTCCTTCGTCCACATCGACGTCGATGTCGAATATGCCGCCGACGGACTCGTAGTCAACGGATTGAGATCTGTAGCGAAGGGGTTGTGACTTCTTTTGCTTGTTGTCCAATGGTTTCGCATTTGTTATGTTTTGAGTCGACTTTATATTCAGATAAGAGTCGAGACCCAGATCTGCATCGACTGCAATACAAACGATATAATTCGAAGGGGTTGTGACTTCTTTTGCTTGTTGTCCAATGGTTTCGCATTTGTTATGTTTTGAGTCGACTTTATATTCAGATAAGAGTCGAGACCCAGATCTGCATCGACTGCAATACAAACGATATAATCATCAGTTAGACTGAAAATATATGGGAAACCCCTGCAAATGCTTTAAACGGAAAACAGATCGAAAAACATATCATTTTAGAGAAGTGTTCGTTAAATGAGATTAGTTTAGAGGAAGAGAAGCAATAAAAATAATTATTTAACACAAATTTATTTAACTTTTATGAAAATTATGTCATTTAATGATGAGTTGGAAAACTCAAACCCAATGAATGCATCGAAAAGCACATGATTTAAGAAATCAAAGTACTCGTGAACTGAGACAATATTTAACATTAAAAACAACACATTTAATCGACAATAAGAAAAAGAAAGACAATTCAGACGAGAAAAACAAAACTCAATACCATTTGCAACGATATTCATGTGTTGTTTGGAGGAAAACGGGAGACTTTGATCCAGATGTGGTTCGCCACTGAGTTTGTGTTGAATGTCATCGAGTATACATATCTCCCAGAGGAGTAACGCAGGCTAGACCTCGACGTATAGCCGCTTGGCCAACACGAGGACAAGGCATTTGCATGCCTAGGAGAGGAGGTAGTCAGAAACAAGAAGCGAGTCTTTCGCGACTTGACTTTGCTGAAGTGAGCGCTTCTTTGTCTCGATAGCCGTCTGTGTGGTCAGCACCGGATGACACGTCTCCACCAACTGATTGTCAAATTTCACGGGAAGTATAACTCTGAATACCGGTGAATATGTTGCACTCAATCGCAACGACTCTATCCGCGAAACGTTACTCTAAAACAATGTATGAAAAGAGTAGTCCTTTATTAGTACGACAAACAATTGCATCGGATTTGCATTTATTTACCGAAACAACAAAACAATACTAAAAGAGTTTCCAAATTTGAATAATTCAATAATTATTCGCTATTGTATTGGTGTGTAAAATATAGTAATTATAATTCAAATGTAAAATACTCAGTGAAATAAATCTAAGGCATACATAGCATACATATTCTGTGACTAAAACCGACAAAATCTATACAAACAATGTTTGATACGTGAATAAAGAAATACAATAAAAATACAACTTTTCAAATTAAAAATAATTTCTCATAAGTTTTAACACATATTTGACACAAGTTTTTGATGAATAGGTTTGTTTTGTGCGAAATGTTATAAAATACAATTGTTTTATAAATTACTCAAAATTGCAAAATATTCACAATATAATGTGAAAATAGCGCACAATTAATGATATTATCTATTTATCGATATTTGTGCATCAGTTATGACTCACAATCAAGAATTATTAAAAATGTTTGGAAACAAAGATTAGATAGTAAACTTTGTTTAGCGTAAGTTACGTATTGAGTAACTCTGACTCCAATTCCAATCCGGTTTTTTGACTCTTGTTCATGAAGTTAGAGTTACCAGAAGGACAACAAAACACGCTATTAAATAATTGACTCAAAAAATGAAACTATAAATACAGTAAATAATAATAATAAAAAAAAGATAAAAATTAATGGTTATAAACAATAAGTTCTGCAATAATAATAATACTTATTGGGAAACAAAGTCAACATACATTTATAGTATAGTTTGAATAAATAGCTATTAGACATGATATTAGGGTATGAATAAATATCGGGCAAAATGGCATAACTATAAGTTGAATGACAATCAATTGAATGCATAAATGCAGTGATCAACAGAAATATGCGACAGAGAGTGGTGTCAGAGCTGTTGTCAGCGAAAAATTGAGGCAAAAAATCAATTCATAAGTGCTTTGAATGGATATGAATGGATGGCATAGTGTTTGTCTGTGAGTCTAAGAGATATGAATACAGAGTATTAATAGCAATATTTACTTCTAAGTTAATGTTGACTAATATTCGTCTTTGATTATCGTTATTGATATGAGTGGCGTGAGTGTCAGTCCCGCAAATGCAACAGTGATTTATCGCCCACTGGCCCACAATACGTGTCCAACACAGATAGTCGTGTTCCTGAGAGTAACAAACAGACAAAACTATTATTTATTTTGATAACAGCAACAATGCAATACAAATACAGATTCACATATTTATTCGCTTCTTATAGCGGAATAAAAATATGAATATAAATACAAAAGACATAAATTTTGATAAGTAGTCAGTCATACGAAGGGGAGAGAGAGAGAGAAGAGAGAGAGAGAGAGAGAGAGAGAGAGAGAGAGTAGAGCAGAGCAGAGGGAGGAATAAACACATAAAACAAGAGTTAACCTAATATTCAATAATTTATATTTAATTATTTTTCACTCATTTCTCAGTTAAACATATAATTTAGAGACAAAAGTAAGAGAAAATTAA